CTATTAATTTCAACTCTTACTATATAAAAATCACATACTTGATTGCTTTGTATTTCATAGAGAAAAATGAAGATTATTGCTACAGAAACAGTTTCTGTGTTGTTTTTCTTGTATGCTTTACACATGTGTAAAGTCAAAAAAAAAAAAAAATGTGCGGTTTGAATTGAGGTCGTTCAAACCCAAACAACATTGTTTTTAAAATTTCAAACATTTTCATGTTTTTTTTGTTTGTCTTTTTTTTTGCAATATATATTAATTCAAATATATATTCCCATTCGGGCAGATGCTTGTTGGTTTCTTTTCAAGAAAACAATGAAGTCAACTTCTTTGTTAACAAAAAAACTCATCATGAATTTATATAACTTTGTGATTGTACCCGAGATCATTTTGTTTAGTTATAAACAGGACCAACCATCACTAATGACAAGGACAACTTTGTTTAATCGTTTTTTAGTTGACTATTTAATCATAATGTTTCTAAAATTATCGAGGACAAATTGTACAAAGTAATTAAATTTTTCAGAATTTTTTAAAATTCCTACAAAGAAGAGCCATTGTTGACGAAGCACTCAGCCGCGGTTATATTTTTAATTTTCTTTTTACTTACAATCAATTTTTCATCAATCTACAGTATTTTTTTTCTGTAACTCCAATTTTATCAACACTGATTTTTTGGTGGGTGGGTGGCAGTGAAATAGCAGCATGCATCCTACAAAATCTAAACTGTTTACTATGACTTTAAACAACTGTAGTCACTTAAAATTAAAAAAAAAAAAAAAAAAACACACACACACACACAGAATCACTTTTCTTTTCTTTTTTGCCTTCAAATAGTTATTAACAAATTACTTTAAATTTTTGCGCATGTGAATTATGTCCATGATTCTAGACTTTTACCGAAAATAATTACTAAATGAACCAAAAGGAACAAATACAACATACATCTAAAAAGATCAAAGAATAGGTCTGCTAAAAAACAAAACAAAAACACTGTGCTGCAAAAAACCATAAAGTAATGGTCTGGTATAAAGGAAAATAAAACTATTTCAGCTCCTAACTTCACAAGGGGAGATAACTGATGAATATCTTTAGATTATCTTCCCGTCTAATTAATAATTAATTATGTAATATTTTGATGCGCCATTATTTACATTATTCGTACTATTGTCCTCATCTTTGTCGCCATATTTATTACGTTTCGGCCGTTGTATGCTCCGGCCTTCTTCAGGTGGTTGGAATGTCGAACTGAAGAAGGCCAGAGCGTACAACGACCGAAACGTTGTAGTAAATATGGTGACAAAGATGAGGACAATAGTCCGAATAATGTACATAATACCTCATCTCAGAAATATAGACAGATTTTGATGCGGGTTTTTAATTTATTTTGCTTTTGAATAGCTATTTTTTAAAGTGATTAATTTGTGAAACTCTTATTTTTTATTTAATATTTTGAAAAATGGTAATCAAGATATACGTGGAGGGGAAAAAAGGTTTTCGGTTGATGATGAAAAGGAGAAATTTATATTTTAGTCAGGCATAAAATCTTTATAAAGAGAGGAACCTTACACAACGGAAAGTGAAATTTTGTAATTCATCTGTTTTAACTGTGGCGTGGTAATGAGATTTGGTATAAAATTGTTAAGAAGGCTTTGGTGAAGGTTGCGTTTTTGATTAGCACATCACATTTAAATTTTACAAAGAATTATGTTTGGTAAAACAAAGTTAAAAAAGAGGAAGTAGTTCCCTCTGTACTGATGTGAGATTGTAAATATGTATTAAAAGAACTTTCTTGTTTAAAATGTTCAGAGTTCAGCAATATGTGATAACTGAGTTTAAGTATGAGAAAGTTGTACAAAAGAATGATAGAATTCCGAGTTGGTTACTTGGCTTTTTGGACAGACAGTTCACAGTGTAGTGCAATTGTAATTTTGTGTCTGTGCGTGTGAGTAGAAGAATGAGAATTCACGTACGTGGTTGAGCTCTGGAGATTTACTGTTCTACTACTGTTCTTTTCTTTGATTTTCGTGTTATTTATACTTTCTGAATAGGCTCCAAGTACGAGAGCAGGGAAAAATATTGAAAGGAGTGTTATATTATTGGTCAAAAATCAACCAATCACTGATTTTATTTCTAAATCAGGTTTGGCAAAGTAAACATCAGAAAGTTTGATGTGGCTCATGTGATGCATAAATTGTCCTATAGAAAATAGCGCTTATTTTCTATCCAGTGTCTATTGAGTATTTTGTGGGCATGGTGTATGTAAACAACTGCTACATAACTAATCAGAAATTGAATAAATGCTAATCAAGTCACTCAAATTTCTTAAAAGACTGGTTTGTCTTCAAATAAGAACATCCTGATTTCTATACAATATGCAATAACTCCAGTGAATTGATTTTCTTTTGATAAGACAACACAGAATACAATGAAAATATGCAGCATTCTTCAGTAATTGTTCCTTCTGTATTTAAGACAACATTTCAATCACTTCACATCAACTTTTAAATCTCAGTTTTAATGTTCTAAACTTTTACAATGAAAATACAACACTATCTTATCCATTTGACAGCGACAAATCATGCAGTCCATCTTTTAATTACTTCTCATTTCAACAAGCAAGAAATGGATACAGAACTGAAACTAGTAACATTTCTTTCATACAAGGTTATTTTTTCTGTTGATGCTATGATTTTATGCATGATTATTACTTACATATCCACTGTTTTATACTTGTATTAAGAGTATATTGTTTCTACCTTCCTCATAACAAATATTAGCAGCTACTCACCATGAATTTTACAAATCTAGTTATATGCTTGCAAGCACATTACAATACAACATAGGTTATCTTTAGCAAATTTTATGTTGTTTGTTAAATATTTTGTTAGTGTTATAACAGATGTCTTATCTTCTTTAGTTATTATCTTCCCATCAAATTTGAATCTATTAACAATATCATAAAATATGATAAGCTTAAATAAGCCTCCCTTTGACTAAAGCAGTATCATTTCTGAATGAGTTGTTCAGAATCTAGATATGCACTTCTTAAATGTGTTGTTTCCAGTCAGAACTCCTGATCTTTAACAAAAACAGAAATTTTGACGGCTACCTTGATAGAAAAAAAGATACCATTTATGGAGATGTTGCCATAACAGAGAGTATTGTTTGTAAAGTGATCCACTAGGTTCAGAAGTGGAATTTCCGATATGCATGTCTGAGAATGATCCAGTTGATCTGCACTCATTGAAGATGACCAAATTGAAATGTTGATACATATGAGTGTAGTAAAAGCATTTGAAAATGCTTTGATTACATGATTTTCTAAGTTGTTTGGGTGTCTCATGATTTAATATAAAAAAATTAATGGACCTCATTTCTATCTAATGATTCTCTGCTCAGTCCTCAACACCCCAAAAAACAGAAACTGACCATTTTTGAAAAATGTTGAAAATTGCACCCTTTGTAGATAATATTTAAAATAAAACAAAATGAATAAATAAGGGATTGGTTATTTCCCTTGGACATTTCTTTTTCAAGTTGAAGAGGACGTATGGACTTTTGTTAATCTTCCTTCCTTTTTCTTCATATGTTTGTAAGAGAGCCATGTTGAATAAATAGATTAATTAGCCTGTTCTAAAACCATAACGATGTCTCATTTGTTATTGCTTCTTGTATGAATGTTATTTGTTCTGCCACCAACATTGTTAAGGTAGAACGTTTTTCATTCATTCATTCATTCATTTATTAATGTGGTGTTCCCACTGACTATTTTGTTTTGTTTTTTTTCAACAAAAAGAACAATCACAGGAAATGAAAAATTCTGGGTAAAATGAAATGAGTTACCACTAAACATTCCAACTGACAAACCAAAAATCTACACAAGTCACATTGATGACATTTTTGTTTTGATCAAAAACAAGGATGAAATTATAAATCGAAAATCAACTTTTGCAAAAAAGACAATGCTAAAATTTACACACAAACTCATTGTTAAGAAGAAAATCACACTGCTTGACATTGATATAGAACTAAAATCCAAAGAATTTATCACTTACCTGTACAAAAAACCCATCAGTACAAACTGTTGTCTTGATAACCAATGCCCAGAAAGATATAAAATAGCAGTGAGAAAAAAAAAAGCTTTCTAAACAGAAGACATCTAAATTCAACTTCCCAAAGAATATTTCTGAGTGAAATAAAACACATAAAACAAACATTAGTCAACAATAATTTTCCCAACTACATCATCAATAAATAAATAATAATATTCTTACAAAAAATACAGGATACCAGTAATAAAAATACAACATAACAAAACATCAACATATTTTACTGCAACAATAATTATAAGCAGGATGAATTTGCTATATGAGGAATCATTAAATGCCATAATACCCGAAAAACTGGAAAACCGCAAACCCTGGTGTCTCTAATCAAAATAACCTATCAAAACTAAACTAGGAATGATCAATACAGTAGATCGAATTCACAGCCCAGTACAAGACTATGTTTATTGTCAAAAATCAATTACCTATATTAGACATATTACCACCTGTTTGAGGAGAGACACCTCACATGTCAGTTATTAGATCGAAGTGCTATAGAAAAACATCTATTTGCCTACAATTTAAAAGAACCCTTAACAAAAATTCTGGTTGAAAACACTAAAATCATATATAAATCACATTGCCACCATCCTGCACTTAATTTGGACTTTCTCATTTATTAAAAATTTCATAATGGCAAACCAAACATCTCATCAAAAAAGAATATTCATTGATCTTGATTGTATATTAGTAAATTCTATTACTTTAGAAATCTTGGAAAAAAAAAACCTCTCTATTCATTTATTTAATTAACCCTTCCATCACTTATGAGCAAGGCAAGTGTAGCTTAATTCCATATTAAAATGTTTTAATGTAATATTAAAATGTAAATATGTGTGATTTTATGTCATCAAATATACTAATTAAATTTTGTGCTGATTTTTGGTTTTTCAGAGAGTCTGGAAATGCCAACTCATGGAGAAGTAATCAACCATATGGATATTGGGCGTTATTTCCAAAAATACTGTGATATCTATTACCTTCCTAACAAACAGTCCCAAGAGGAATATCCGGATGATCTTGCTGTTACCTTGAGAATAATTCAGACTACATATGGCTGCCTCTAATCACCTGAAGAATTCTTTTGCCTACACTTTTTCTTCTTGCTATTTCTCTTTCTTCTTTTCATAGCCATTAAAATGTGGATTCATATTTAATTTTGACTGTCAATGACATCAAATATAAGACAGCAAATATGAAAGCAGATTTGTTGTAAATGACTTTATAATCTGAAATACTTTACCAAATAAATGAGCAAAAACTATTTTATCTGGTGGTAAAAAGATATTAATTATTATTTTTTTATAGAACTTGCTTGTATGTGTATTTTTATGCTTGCCCGCATCACTACTGAATGTAACACATGGTCAGTTTAATGTGGTTTTAATGGCAGTACCATGGGAAAATTGTTCAAGCCCACTTGGCACTTCCCTTTTGGGGATACCTCAAGCACTGAGCAAGGAACCCAGCCCATTCCCAAAGGAGAGGTACTGTCTCGGGTGATAGCTACTTGGGCTTGAGCTAATGTTATTTTGAAACTTTCCTGGTTAAAGTCCCAGGGAAGCATGTAAAGTTACATAAGGTATGATGTTTCAATATTTGGCAGACAAAGAACTGACATTAATATCAAAGCTATGGTATTACAAGAAAGTGCAGAAAACTACAAGATTATGAAAGAGTGCAGAAAGATTTATTTATGGACTGACCTACTTTCAGCAAAGTGACAAATTTTATATTTATATTAATCATTATATATATATATATATATAGGGTAATTGAAAAGTAACTCTCCATTTTAAAATACTTATAATTTATCTATTAACTATAATTTTGACAAGAAATGGATATGAGAGGATAGCATTTAGCATGAGGTTTTAATTAAAATTCAATATGGGCACCGATGGATAAATGTGATTTATTTCTATTAAATCAATTTTTTTCTGTTTTCTATGTATATTTAGTTATTATGCATTTGTGTACAGTTAATTATGTGAAAAGTATGTTTATTCATTAGTTGGAAGTACAATAAATTAAAAATTTGTATGTATACCAATATATATATATATATAGTATTACCAGTTTGTGACTGTTAGGGATAATTCCAAGGAGGATATTAATCCTGAGAAAGCTCAATTTAAACTACAGAACATTATAATAATAATAAGGAAAAAAACCTTAAATATTCATTTCAATATGAATATTTAAGTTTTTTTTCCTTATTTTATATATATCTTTCATTGAGTACGACTGACAACCTTGTGGAATGACAATAATAGCCAAAGAAAAGATACTGCATCTTAAAATGGAAATTCAAAAATAGAAGGAGCACAACAAAACAACTACTGAATGCCATCTCAACCACCTCAATAGTATATTAGAACTCAACCAACAACACACCATTACTAAAAAAATTTACAACTTATATAATTAAAATAGGTACCTCCATGAGATCGCTAAAAAAGAAAGCATAGCATGATGAAAAAGACACCAAACAAGATGAAAACAAAATTTTATCGTGTAAATGTTTATGTTATTATTAAGAAGAAAGAGCAAAGTATTTTGGAGGTATTTTTTTACATTTTTTAATCTTTCCTAGCATGTCCAAAATTTTCATTAAAAATCTTCGTTTTTTTTTTTTTTTTTGAGTTAGCAAAATTGACAGATTTCAACCATTTTTTCCATTTTATAAAAAACTGAAAATCTCACTTTGAAATTCTTTTAAATATCAATTGTCATTTTTTCAAAACTTATTTTAAGAAAATCAGAAATTATGTTTATTTAAAATATTTTGAACCAAGCTTAACTTAGCTTCTGCGCCGAAAAAATGTAATTTGAAAATAAAACAAAGCAGGTGTTTCTGCTTGACACTTGACACGTGATGAATGACATTGACGGATTCCATGAGGATAATTTGTTCTACGGAAGGAGAGAAGTGAAATTATTTACATTTAAGTGAACAAATTATTTACCTCGTTATTTTTAAGGAAAACTTTCAGCACTCTAATTTTTTGTTTTGTACTTAAGCTTTCACCTTTATGTTTACGATGCTTTATGGAAAATATATTATAAAGAAATTAAAATTAGACTGTTAAGAGTGAGATTAAATTTCATATTTCATAAGAAAGGTATCTAATTAAGTTATAGGTATCTTTCTTATGAAATTTTATCAGAAGTGTACATAAAATACTACAATTTTATGTACATTTATTACATTTTATTGTGTTATTTGTATTTCCATTCATTTTATTATTAATTTTGATATTTCATCTATGTAAAAATGTCATAACTAAGATTAATATAAAAAGAAGATCATATAAATTTCATAAGATGATACTGATACTTGTATGTACCCTTCTCAGTTGAAATCAAATTAACTTCTCCACACGTGTTTCACAAAAGTAAAGGCCTTAACAGCAGAGAACAATGCTTAACTCAAATAAAGCAACTTAATTGTATTCTGGTTGATCTTCCATACTTTATAATTACAGCCCGATTATAAACACAAAATTACATTACAAATCTTCTGTTTAGTCAAAATGATACAATTTACAACACGCTAAAACAAGATCTATCTTATAAGGACACTTAGGAAACCCGATGTGGCTTTTAACTAATTTTATAATATTTTAACAACTTAAATGTAATTGTATTAAAAATTCATTTTTCATCGAAAATTTTTTTTGCTTTCAGAAAATATTGTCCATATTCATAAAAGCAAATAAAAGCATTTGAAATTAAATAATATATTTGTTTTATTGAGTTTTCTATGTTACAATTCAGAGCTGATTTTCAGGTAGGGGGGTCCAATTAAAAACAAAAAAAAAACATGATTTGCATTTTTCAAGGCCTTGTGCTTTTAACTATTGTAATCACTAAACCTGATGCGATCAAATTTCTAGCATTTTCATAAAATTAGTTGGGGGTGGGTAATAAATTTAAAAAAAAATATTTCTGCCATGTATTTAATAAAAAAAAAAAAAAACATACTTATAATAATTTCCATCATCTGTGAATAATTTCTGAAAGTTTCATTAACACCCGATAGTTATTTTTGCAAGATTTATACAAAAAAACATGCTAAAAATTGTATATTCTATTTTACTAGTTCTGGTAATACAAAGAGAAACAAGTTTTTTCAATCAAAATTTAGAATGTTCTAAAAAGAAGGAAAAAATTTTAAAAAATAATTAAAATGAACTTTGATCTTTCCGCTTAATGATAACATAAGCATTTAGATGATAAAATTTTGTTTTCGTCAAGTTTGGCGTCTTTTTCATCATGCTATGCTCTTTTTTTTAGCGATCTTGTGGAGGTACCTAAATTAAAAGATTGTGCTGCCTAATGGTAAATGTAACTTCCTAAACTTGTCTGATCACAAACTCACTGACAACTAAAGAGAATTCTTGAGTATCAGCCTGAATTGCCACGTCCAACCTAGATATGAACTTATTCAAAAGAAAATCAAAATACTCTATCAATCTAACAGCTAATAAAAGAATTAATTAAGGTGCACCCAAATCTGAGAAATCTTCTAAAAGCAGAAGGTTTGAAAAACCATTCTCTACACAGAAAACAATAATATCCTCACAAACTCAAATCAGCTACAAAAGAGTTATGTAACAACTCTAATACCATATCAGACATGCTGATAAAGCCAATAATTATGTCATCAACTGACAAGATTGCAATAAAAAATTATCATCTATCTCTGACGACACAGCAAAATTCATTAAATTAAGAAAAATCCTACAGATTCGTTAAAAAAGTATGTAAATAAACTTATCACAGCAAATTACACTGAGGTTGATATTTTAAAAATCAAGGAAATTGTCAGTGATTACCAACCAGGATATATGTATGGTAAAGTAAAAACCCATAAACCAGGTTTTCCTCTACATCCTATCATATCACAAATACCTACACCGGTATACCAACCATCAAAAACCCTTGATAACATAATTTCTCCATACACACCCAACAATTACAGCATTGCATCAACAAATGAACACTCTAGTTTCATTTGATGTTGAAAATCTTTTTACCATGTCCCAATGTTGAAGAAACAATCAACATAATTTTTGACTGTGTCTACAAACACCCTTCATTCCAGTTTGTGAGAGCTTGGGATGAACACTCCTTTTTCGAGAAACAACGTAACAGCCAAAACACAAGGAAAAAATAAACAACACTGGAGACAAAACGCCCTTCAAAATGACTATAGAAATGACTGAAAGTGTGTGGGACAATAAAAATTATGAACAATTTTTATATTCCTTAACTCTTATAAAGCGGCAAATGTTAGGATGCTGAAAAAACTTAATGAAAAAAAAAAAATTCAATCTTCCTTGTTGACCACATTCAATGAAAGATGTTTGAAAGAAAAGTTGCTGCCAAAATATACATTAGTAAATAAATAAATATTTTTATATATATATATATATATGTTAAGAAATGGACAAGGTCCGACAATTTATTTATTAAAGACATTTTTTTTTTATGTTTAATGTTTATTTTATAGATACATTTATAGGTCATTTGTTTACATTCGATACGCCAGAGCAGTTATGAATGTACGAGATTCATGGAAGATTAGAGTTTATAAGCAGTAAATTCGACCTTGTCTACCGTAAGGTTCTTTTGTGGGTCAGCGGTCAAGGCACGTCAGCGTATATGACGGTTCCAGATAGGATGCAGGTTCGAATCCTGCCAAAGAACGAATATTTTCTATGAAAATTTTCGGACATTCAGGCGGTAAATGTTATTTAATACTGTTTATCATAAACAGAGCATTTGCTTAAATACTTGTATCTATAAAATAACAACGTTAAACATAAAAAAAAAAAAAAAAATGTCTTTAATAAATATATATATATATATATATATATATATATATATAGTTAGTTAGTTAGTTAGTTAGTTTATTTTCAATGCTAGATATATTTTTAAAAAAAAAAAAAACTATGTAATATATGACTGACAACATTGCAGTAGCCAGATATTTTTATTAAAATTTAAATTACATAACAGTCAGTTTATACTTAGCAATTGAAGATTGCATTGTGCGTGA